TGGCAAACCCTCCAAGCCACGGCTTTTAGCGCACCGTGATAGATTCAAGCCCATCCGATTGATTATAGTGAAGAAGCGGGCCGAGGGTCGCTCACACTCTCCCCCCACCGTCTAGCGACCACCTAGCTGATCGGTCACCTGAGGTGGGCCATCTCACTCACACAGTCACAAACTCTCAGACATGACTAGACGCAATCAAGACTAACTCTGGCTTCGCCAGTGGCCACTGCTGCCTGGGACGACAACTCAGGGCTCTGTGCAGAATAAAGTCCTAATTTTTGTGCCTTTTGCCTTTTTATCAAGACCTAAGGATTCGATCTGATGATTGTATTACACCGAGTACAACCACTACTTTGACGCTACAATGCTCTGTTTGTCGAAATCGTCTCATCAGTTCTATACCTAAAAAATGTGCCCATTTTCTATTCGATTCAGACGATTGCATCAGCATGGAGGCGAGAACGCCGTGGCGTAATATCGCCCCGACTCGCTGCCAACTGGCGATGGCGTCAAGGTGGCCAACTGAAGGCAGGGGCCCTTAGTTGTCCCAAGCTTTGGCCAAAATAATCTGAAAAGTATTACCCCACATTAACTGCTACTTAAACAGACAGGCAAAAGTTGTTCACTTCAGCTGGCAACTACTTCCTCACGGAAAACTGTTGCTTAAACGAGTAAAGCTCGGAAGGGTCTGAAGGTGCGTGGCTAAGGCACCAACCCTGTCGGTAGCTCCAACACCGAACGGTTGAAACAGTCAGTAAGCCTTCAAATAGCGGCAGAGTCGACTGAAGCAGCAGTGCTGGCGGCCGTCAAGAGACCAATTACCAAAAAAGAAAATTAGCTGGAGCAGGTTCAGAAGGGCCCCGGCCCCAGGACGCAGATGGTGTCCAGCTGTTTAACCAAACCAAACAGCCCCTGCCACAGCTAACCAATCAGAATGCAACGCCAACCGCAACACAAAACTCACCCTCAGGACGGAGATGGTGTCCAGAGTCCAGCTGTTTAACCAAACCAAACAGCCCTCCGTGCCACCAATCAGGATGCAGTCCACCTGCGCGCCTTCCATGGCTGCGGAGAAGAGCATAGGCACCTGGAAGATGACCGCTGCAGTCCCGACGGCAACTGGAGAGGGAGAGCGACGTGGTGTGGTGGAGAGAAAACCAAACTCGGCCGAAAAGTCGAGCACTCTGCTGCAGGCCTGATGGCCGTCGGCTGTGTAGAGGCCCAGCCATATTTCTACAAAAGAAGATCGCATTAGCATGGACGATAGAGGGGGGGGAGAGGATCACAGTGGACAGCAGAGACGACTGGCAGCCGATGGAGAAGTAGACTGCAGAAGGTCAAGTTTTAGCCAATAGACAGAAGTTATATTACTGACAAGGAGTAGACACGATTGTCATTGGGACAAGAACTTTACTCGTCTGAAGTTTCGGATTCCCCTTCGAAACCAGCATCAGGGACAGCTATAATACTGCATA